ATTGGGAAGAGAATCCTCTATTTAACATTCACCTACTGTGGAGCTTCTTGAACTTTTTTTTGATGTGGTGCTGGCCACTATCTGAGATAGTGTCTTATCCATGGACCACAGGTTTGAGCTACTATCTTTCTTTCTTTCTTTCTTTCTTTCTTTCTTTCTTTCTTTCTTTCTTTCTTTCTTTCTTTCTTTCTTTCTTTCTTTCTTTCTTTCTTTCTTTCTTTCTTTCTTTCTTTCTTTCTTTCTTTCTTTCTTTCTTTCTTTCTTTCTTTCTTTCTTTCTTTCTTTCTTTCTTTCTTTCTTTCTTTCTTTCTTTCTTTCTTTCTTTCTTTCTTTCTTTAAAGAGAGCATCCAGACTCGCTGGGTGCTCTCTTTCGAAAAAGCGGATTTCTCTTTCGAAAGATCCGCCTGCAGTCTAGACGCGATCTTTCGAAAGAGGCTCTTTCAAAAGATGCTTTCGAGAGAGCCTCTTTCGAAAGAAGCCTGCAGTCTTTTGTTTTTTAAGTTTTTCCTGTTGCAGACTAACTCGGCTACCCCTCTGAATCTTCCTATTAAGATAGCCATATCCTGTTTTTCATTTTGGATTATTTGCTATAATTGGTATTATGTGTCCTTTCTATATATTATTTGATTAAGGTTAAGCACATTTTGCAATTCTTAGTTTTAGTGATAATAGTCAAGAGTTAAAAAAAGGTTACTAGTGATTGTAGGTGATATAACTTTACGGTAACCAACTGGGAACTCTTTGAAGATTTCTGATTTTCAGAAAGTGCTGGGCATTCACCCCTTCAAATCAAGCCTTTGTATGATATTTAAAATAGGCTACACAATATTGCCATCACTTTTGAAAACCTGAAAAGATCTAAAACAATGTCTATGCCCAGAAAACAGGTAGTGAGTAAAAGTTATCTTCTTGTATCTGCAAATGATTCTACAAGAAAAATTAGGCGCTCACATTGAGAGCCTGCTTTCAAAAGTGACCTTATATCTCCACTGAAAAAAAATCTCTATTCTCTTTTGGTAGCCTATTCCATTGCCAGTTTAAGATGAAAGAAAAAAAATACTGCCGTATTGTAGAAAACAATCAGATAAAATGGTACATTACACAAAGCACAGAAACATACAAAAAGTCTTCTAAGAGATTTCTGAATGCTGGTGCTATGGACATTTTAGATACAGCTAGATACAAAAAAGGAGGGATATGCAGGCAGAGTTTCTTTCTGCAATCCATGTTTACTCCCATCTTTGCTTCCCTTGCCTGCCTCCTTCACACGTGCACTCTTTGAATTGCTCAGGAAACTGCCTGCTAATGTCATTACTGCAGTGACATGTGAGAATCAAATGATACTAGATTGCATTCCAAGTTCTATTTTGTACTTAGCCCCTCCTTCAGTTGCTGCCCACAAGATCAGTGAAATCCAGCAGCTGATTGCTTCTGCTAAAGCCATTAAATATAGAGGGCTTAGTTATATGATTGCTTCCATTATTATAAACAGCATACAGATATTAAAATTACTACAGAAATATTCTATGCAAATGAAGTTTAGGAAAATTCTACCACTGTCCAAGGATTTGCTTCTGCTTCCATTGAAATCAATAGGAGTTTGTCTTTAAGTACAATGGGAACAGAAACAGACTCCAAATCACGGTCAACTCAGCAAAATGGAGCTTTCCAAATAAAATATCCAAAGATGGCTATAAAAAGCAACATTCTAACTTATTTATCTCTTTGTTTTCTGATGATTTCCAGTCTTGCAATTTCTGCTATCTAGAAAGCGTTAAGAATATTAATAAATGTATTTATTCATAATGCCATCTAAGAGCAATATTAGCAAATAGGGTCTCTTCAAAAACAATCTATCATGTCTCTATGTTGTGGTCTTGTTTTATGCTAAACACAGACTGCCTCTCACTATATTTAGAAATAGCACTAGTTGCAAGACATCTGGTATATAATTTACAGGAACAGCAGCCTATGCTGTTCTGTAATCACAACAGCAATAAAGTAAAAAAGAATTCATATTATTAAAGACTACAAATAATTATGACAAAAATTCATACAATACCTAAATCTCCATCTCCCCATGGCACATCCAGCCAATTGAAATTATAAATTCTACTCATTTCCTTTTGTGTGAAAATAAAAACCTGTCCCCACTAGCTGGGGCCAATCTTAATACACCTCAGCCATGTTTGGAAGGAGATCAGCAGCTTCTTGTAATATGAACTTTCACCTCTAAAACCTATGAGGTAAACACAATTTGAAGGCATCAGCTTAGGTGACAATAATAACCCACTTATTTTCTTATTAAAAAGCAGCACCTTCCATTTAAAATAGCTATATGAAAAAGTTAACATATTGGGAATATTAATTGCTTTCTATTATTTTTGATCCTGAAATCTCTACACAAGTGAAATTCTAAAGGAAATCAATGGAAACGTTGCCTGAATAAGGACTATAAAATCAAGCCTTAATTATCCATCTTTTACCTTGTAGAATGAGATGAACTTATGAAAATAAATTATTTTACAGGTATCCTCTCAACTCATTATAAATATATAGCCTTATGAGTGGGGATATAGGCAGTGATCACACAGACTGCTTTATTATATTTCAATACTACTTTTAAAAGTAAATAACATTGCTGCTAGTTTGTGAACTTGAGACAAATGTTGTTCTCATCAGTGAGAAAAACAGGATGGTGTTTTTGTGTTTTTCTCTTCTGGCTGTCTTCTTGCTGCTCACTACTGACTGGTAGAAATTCTTAATTATTAGATGTTTATATTGAATTTTGAGCTACTTTTAGTGTTATTTTTTCCAACTTTGAATTAACCAAGCATATTGACTTTTTAAGGAAATGAATTAAAATCCTTTCTTTCACATAACAAAGCTTGAAAAAAAAAACTAGTTAGCAACTGTGGCCTGATTCAAAAATTATCATTATGATTATTGGCAATAAAGTAGTACCCAAAGGAACCTCAGCCGGCTCCTTGCCTGACCCACCCCCACTTGGCACTCAGGAAAGCTGACTGCTGCAGGGCCATGTGCTTCTGTGACTGCTGAGAGTGCAGGTGAGGGGGCGAAAGGCTTCTCACATAGCACCTGCCCCCAGTAGTTCCCATTGCCAGTTTCTGGCCAATAGCAGCTTTCTGTTTGCAGGACAGGCAGCATACGAAGTGCTCCTCCCTCCTCATCCCCCAGTGTTCGCAGCAGCAAACATGGCCCAAAGGCAGAGGACCTGGTTAAGCAACCTGCAGGGTTGCTGGCTGGGGGCCAGGCAGATAAGGTCTCCCAGCTAGAGCTTGCCTCTGGCACCCCAGCCCCTCCCTTTCCCAACCTTCTGCCCCCCTCCAGTACCCATACTCCATGTATCCCAAACCAATAGTTAAACAGACATCAAGAGATTGACTAGTTTGTCCAAAATCAAAACAGAGGACTGTAAAAGCCAAAAAAGAATAGGTCTCTTGACCTCCATTTCTATGCCTTAACCACCAAGACTATCCTTTCTTCCCCATTAATACCTGCTGGTCCTTCCTAGTACGGGCCATATAATAGATTCCTCTTAATCCTCATGTAGACTCTCCAGACATTCTATATAAAACTTTCTTATACAGACCAAACCAAATTTCTGTGCTTTGTCCATAAGAGATTCAGTTTGATGGGATAGCCTACAAATTTTACTGTTTCTTGCCCTCTTCTCAAAAACTGTATGTAATCTGAAGAATGCAGTATCCCAATGCAGAACTTAGCAAATATTGAATCTGACCTTCCCTAAACCTGATGAATGCTTGGGCACTGGGTTTTCATATATCTTCCATGTAAAACACTTTGCTTTACCATTATTATAATTTGTAGGATATAATTACTACAGGCCTTGATCAGGTTGCAGCCCCACTGTGCTAGGTTCATTTCAAATATAGTAAACAGCAATCCCTGCTCTTAATGATTTTACAATCTAAAAAATAGTCCATCATAGTGTTTAAGTCCTGAAAGGTTTGCCAGATCATCTGGTTTGATCTAAGGATTCCTCTAAACTGTGTGGCCATGCAGCTTCCTAATAAGCCCTGTGCAGGAGCTTATAGCTGCCATGCAAGGAGCTGCCACATCCAAGGGAGAGGCATGCTCCTTTGGCCCCAGCTATTGCTGAGGCAGCAAGGGAGAAGATTGCTACATCAGCCCCAGCAGCAGTGCTGATTAAGAAAAGAGCGTTAGAGACTGGAGCCCCAAAATCCCTGTGTTCTGGGTCAGTCCTTCCTGGTGGAGGAGAGGGAAAAGATAGCTCTGCATACTGCCATTCCTCCCCCACCTCCGCCCTTGGCTAGACCCACGTCACTCCAAACGCCAGGAAACTCTGTCCCTGCAGCTCCCATTTCCCTGGAATTGTGGCAAATGGGAACTGTGAGGCAGCACAGAGCCACCAAATGGGAATTGCAAGCAAGTGTCCCACATCCCAACCTCTACTCCATCCCCGAGCCTCCTTCACCATTCCAGGTCCATCCTAGACCCCGTAGCCCAACCTTGAGTGTCTTCCTGCACCCTAACTCCTGGCCAGACCTCACATTCCCATCCCAACCTCCTACCCTGAGTCCGCTCTCACACTCCAAACTCCTTGGCTTCAGCCTGGAGCCCCTTCTGCACCCCAAACACCACATCCACAGCCTCCAGTCAGATTCCCCACCCTCACCATGGGCGGTGAGTTATATGGGCTCGTGGTGCCCATGCTCCAGCAATAGTCAGAGCCGGGGGCCCTTGTCCACCAATATTTGGAGCTGGGTCTCTCCCCCGGCCCTGCCTCAAGTGAGCCTTGGCCCCCACTGCTGCCTCCCCGCCCCCCACGTGTTCTCCTACCCCAGCCCCAAAGCATCTCCCCTGTCCCTGTCCTGGCCCTGCTGTGCGCAGCTTTCAGTCCGGCTCCCTCTTGCCAGTGAGCACTGCCAGTTGCTGCTGCCATGTGCAGCATTTACAGGTGAGCAGGGAGATGCCCAGGCGTGACGTCATGGCCCGGGACTTTAAAACTGCTCGGTGTGGCATCGCGCCGTGCAGCCTTGCTCCTGGTTCAGTGTCTGGGGACTTCTGGGGCCTGAGCGCAGAATCTGGCCCTGCAAAGTGGAAGGCAGAAGGTAAGGGGAAGGGAAAGGTAAGGTAAGGGGGAGGGGGAGAAAAGGGCTTGTGCGGAGGGGTATGGGGAGGGGGAAAGATAAGGGGAGAGGGAAGAAGGGGTTTGTGCGGAGGGGGAGGGGGAAAATAGGGGAAGAGGAAGGGGCTTGTTCGGAGGGGAGGGGGAAGAAAGTGGAAGGCACCAAGGGACAGCGTGGAGAAGAGACAAATGCCAAGGAGCCAAGTGCAGACAATGAGGAAAAGTGCAGGAGGGGAGGTGTCAGTGAGAGGGGGGACAGGGTGATGCTGGGAGAGAAGTGGAGAGGGGAAGGGCATTGGGAGCTAGAGGGGGGAGGCGGAGGTACTGGGAGAAGGCTTGAAAGAAGGGGTGGGCATGAGAAAGGCGGGGATGGAGCAAGTCGTGTGAGGGCACAGAGGGGCATGAGGGGAATGGAGGCAGAGGGTGGTGAGGGGGTGGGCATCAGGGAAAAAGAGGGCAAAGGGTGCAGGGGCAGTAAGGGAAGGAGGAGGGTGAAGAGCTAAGGGAAGGTGCAAGTGCCAGGGGTTTCTGGGGGTGAAGCAGAAGGGCAGACACCTGCAGAGGAGGGACCAGCACCAGAGGAGAGAAGCAGGGCAGATGTGTAGAGGGAGATGTTAGAAGAGGGGATGAGGAGGGGTAGCTCACATGATCAGAGTGGGGCTACTGGAGCGGGAACGGGGCAGAGAAGGGCTGGTGGAGGGTGGCAAGCCGCAGGAGGGCTTAGGGCAGTGAGAAGGGCAGGAATCAGGACAGCAGAGGAGGGTGAAGAGTTGGGGGGCAGCAGGCATCAGGGGAGCTGATGGAGCAAGGGGAGGAGACATGGCAGCAGAGAGAAAAGGTAAAGGTTTATAAAATATTTATTAAGAACTTGGGTGCCACAGTGGCACATCCAAACAAGCCCTATGAACTCAGTACTGGTGCACAACACAAAATTCATTCTGGAGAAAACTCTTAGGCTATGTCTACACTGGCGGCTTCCTGCGCAAGAACATCTTGAGCAAGGATTCCTATGCAAGAAGTCTTGCGCAAGAACATGTCCACACTGCCATGGGCGAACTGTGCTTTTGCGCAAGAGCATCCATGGCAGTGTGGACGCTCTCTTGCGCAAGAAAGCTCCGATGGCCATTTTAGCCATAGGGGTTTCTTGCGCAAGAAATCCCTGCTGAGGGTCCACACTGCCCTCTTGCACAAGAGAGCTTACACCTGTTAGAAAAGAGCATAGCTCTTGTGCAAGATGCCCTCTCTTACCACGCCGTACTGTAAATTTCCTTGCGCCAGAGCAGGCGGGCATTGTGGATACTCTGTGGGTTCTTGTGCGAGAACGTCTGTACGTGTAGACATAGCCTTAGAGGGAACACTTCCCCCAGCCTCTCTGCCCCTGAGTTAATGTCACACACATTGGGTTAATGCAATTGCAGGATAGTTTCACAAGGGGGGTTTGGTGGGGGCCAAACTAATCCCTGTTGGTAGGAGGATAGTGGGAAAAGTCCTTCGAGAGGGGTGACATGACACCTTTTATTCTGGTCATGTGTCCATCTTGCCTCGAGCGTGTTACCTCCAGAGGCCTGGTTAATGGGGGTCAGCAGGTGTGGCTAATGGGGGTCGAGGAGTAGTTAACGGGTTGGGGGTTGGCTAATGGGGCACCACCAAAAATTATACAAACCTGCCGCCCCTGACCCTCACCCCACTCTGAGTCCTCTCCCTCACTCCAACTCCTCTGTCCCACTCATGCCACAGATCATCCATGTGCAGAATGAATTTTGTTATATGTACCTGAATGGAGGATTCCACATACAGACATAAAAAATTATGTCCTGCCTATATATCACAAGGCACCAACACCACCCAGGACTCACACACTAACTTACCTAAAGATGATCCAAAGAAGAAGTGTTTGGGGTTCAGGATGAGGACCAAATTAGGGCAACATTTCAAGTATTGATATTACAGTGCTACTCTTACAAAACTGCACTGAATGGTGGAAATCTCACAATATCAAATAACCTAGAATGATTGACTTCTCATAAGATTAGTTATTCTTTTAAGACTTCTTCTATCTTAGTATGACATCTCTCTAGCACTGTTGTTTTCCAAGACATCATCTCTATCCAAATTCACCAAGAGAAAAGAGCACCTTCCACTTTTGAATCCAAACTGTTAAGCCAATGTTAAACACTTTAAAAAATCCCGGTTTATCAATAGATAAGTGGTGTCCATAAATTTAGTAGAAGATAGTACAGCATGAGAGCACAGAAAAAGTATAAGTAGGCTATATAATTTATAAACAGTGTAACACTAGCAAACCAGGTGCTAGCTCATGCTAAAGCCCTAGGCCTCACTGAACACTTACAAAAGCATTGCTGAAAGTGAGACCAATCCACATATGTACTGTATAGAAAAGGTGATTGTTAAATGTATAAGAACATATTTGGTGTTTAAACTTCGTAAAAACTAATGGAATGTTACATACATTATTTTCACTTATCTACATCCTGTTATAATGTAATAGCAAACATATAATTAACTTGGCAAATGAGAAAGAAGTCTTGTGTAATGCAAATGAAGAACTTTAACACTGCATTTGAAAGCAAGTGGTCATATGATGATCAGAGATCAAAGACTTTAAATGTGCTTCTGTCTCTGCCAATGAAAGAAAGAGCCTAAGTGCATACTGACCCAGTCAGCTTGTTTTCTGTGAGAAGCAGTATGCATGGACTCAAGGAGAAAATTATTCATCCCTGGATCATTTGTATTCTAACAGGACAGAATAACTGAACATAAGATAAGAATATAAGAACAGCCATACTGAGTAAGACCAAAGGTCCATTTAGCCCAGTATCCTGTCTGCTGACAGTGAACAATGCTAGGTGCTCAGAGAAGGAATGAACAGAATCATCACGTGTCCTCACCCGTTTCCCATTGCCAGCTTCTGACAAACTGAGGCTAGGGGCATCATTCCTACCTATCCTGGCTAATAGCCACTGATGGACCTATCCTCCATGAATTTATCTAGCTCTTTTTTTTAACCTGGTTAAAGCCCTGGCCTTCAACATCCTCTGGAAAGGAATTCCATGGGTTGACAGTGTGTTGCATGAAGAAGTACTTCCTTTTGTTTGTTTTAAACCTGCTTCCTATTAAATTTGGTGACCCTTAGTTCTTATGTTATGGGAACAAGTAAATAACTTTATCTTATTCACTTTCTCCACACCAGTCATGATTTTATATACCGCTATTATATTCCCCCTTAGGCTACGACTACACTGTAGCCTTCTTCCAGAAAAGCTTATGCAAATGAAGCATGGCATGGAATATCGCTGTACTTCATTTGCATAATTAATTAGCAGCCATTTTTGCACAAGAAGCTTTTGCACAAAAAGGAGCAGTGTCGATGTCTCCTTTTTGCCTATGTCTCTGGCCTGAGCTCATCAGTCAGCATCATATAAGTATCTTAGGAGATCACTGCATTAAAATGCAAATGTTTAAGTATTATCATGGGATGGTATGTAACTTTTTAAGGGAGAAACAGAACTAATGTAAAAACTACAACGTGTTACCTGCTTCAAAGGACTCTAAAAAACAATGGAGCAGAGAAGACAACTTCCAATTGAGGTGAATTTTTAGGAAATACTTTGGAAGAAGGGAATGCAAATTACTCACTTCCAGAGCCATCCTTTTAAAGCAGCAGGTTGGAGAGAAGCCTAATTATCTGGCTGATTATCTATTAATGGACTCTTTAAAGGCACAAACTAGATAAAGGAGGGACAACCTTACTGATGGAGAAGCTAGTTGTGAGAGAAAGCTGTTATGGACTGGTTACCACAGAAAAAATCCTTGTGTGAGGATTGAACTACTAAACACCTGAAAATACTCTAGTCAAAAGGCAGACACACACAGGTTGAGAAGGGATATCTTAAATAATAAGCCTGAGGATATGATGGGAATATTTTAGAAGTGTTTTGTTACATGATAGTTAAAGCAGAAATTAGAAAAATAAAACACTTATCAGAGACAGACTGGATTAACACTTTTGGAGGAATAAACATGGTAGAGTATTTTTTAAAATAGTAATCATACTCTAATTAGGATTAAAATGAGAAAAAAGGAGAATAAAAACATCAACATTTAGCAGCATTGATTTTAGAAAAAAACAGCAAATGTTTGATACAACAGTGTATGTTAAAATAATAGAGAAAAAGGACACAGAGCTAAAAGGGAAAGTTTTGAGTTACACCCTAAAGGGTACATTTGGCATAAAAAAATTAAAATATAAAACACAGTTGTGAAGTAGGGCAAAATGTAAGAATACTTAAATAGTGTTATGGTGATAACCTTCACTACTGTTGATATTGACAATTAAGATATATTCAAGAATAGAAATAGCAGCGATTATACTAAAAAGAGCTTTAATTTCTTTAAGGGCAAAAGCATAATACAATAAATAAATAATAATAATAATGTTTTTTCAAATGTGGTACATGTGTAGAAACCTGGAAAAGGGAATTCAATATAGATATTTTGGACCAGGAATATAAACTTTCAGGCTACGTCTACACTGGCATGATTTTCCGAAAATGCTTTTAACGGAAAAGTTTTCCGTTAAAAGCATTTTCGGAAAATCATGCCAGTGTAGACGTAGCCTGAAAGTTTATATTCCTGGTCCAAAATATCTATATTGAATTCCCTTTTCCAGGTTTCTACACATGTACCACATTTGAAAAAACATTATTATTATTATTTATTTATTGTATTATGCTTTTGCCCTTAAAGAAATTAAAGCTCTTTTTAGTATAATCGCTGCTATTTCTATTCTTGAATATATCTTAATTGTCAATATCAACAGTAGTGAAGGTTATCACCATAACACTATTTAAGTATTCTTACATTTTGCCCTACTTCACAACTGTGTTTTATATTTTAATTTTTTTATGCCAAATGTACCCTTTAGGGTGTAACTCAAAACTTTCCCTTTTAGCTCTGTGTCCTTTTTCTCTATTATTTTAACATACACTGTTGTATCAAACATTTGCTGTTTTTTTCTAAAATCAATGCTGCTAAATGTTGATGTTTTTATTCTCCTTTTTTCTCATTTTAATCCTAATTAGAGTATGATTACTATTTTAAAAAATACTCTACCATGTTTATTCCTCCAAAAGTGTTAATCCAGTCTGTCTCTGATAAGTGTTTTATTTTTCTAATTTCTGCTTTAACTATCATGTAACAAAACACTTCTAAAATATTCCCATCATATCCTCAGGCTTATTATTTAAGATATCCCTTCTCAAAATGTCCCAGTTTATGTCCAGGTAATTTTAAATACCTCTACATTCTATTTTGTTTTTCATTTCATAATTTTTCTCTTAATGTTAGTGTCTAGTCTGTTGTTACATTTGAACAGATTATCTGTGGTAAATTCCTAAAATCAATGTACTCTATTCAGTATCTGTACTAAAAAATATAATGGTTCTACATTGCCTGTACTTATTCCAAAAGTTTCCTTAGCTACTTTCAAGCCTCCCTTAACATATAGTTACTTATTCCCTTGAATTCCACTTCTTCAGATCAGGATTACTCTTTGTTTTTAAAGTTACGGACTAACAACACAACTGCCCCTCTGAGACACTTGTAAACAGTCAGCTCTCAGCATTTAGTTACATTGACTTTTGTTTCCTTGCTACAAATAAGGCAGACAAACAAGAAAACATACTGTGGATGAGTTTGCAACATTAGAAAACGTACAGTCCAAAAATTACATTAAGCTGTATTATCTCTGTAGTAACCCATGCAAGTGTAATACACTATCACTAATTATTATAAGCATGATTTTAATTACAAATGTGATTATTGAAAATTCAGTTTAAGTTAGCATGCTAAAAAACTGGGTCAGCTTGATATATTTTCGTGCACTGTCAGCTTGTGAAATGGCTGCTATACTAACCTTGGCTGGTCAGAATACCCCAGCAAGCTTTTCGTTTTGCAGGACACTCCCCTATACTTTCTAGGCTTCTTTTTACGAGATTCTGGTTAGTGCAGCTCCTCTGAATAGCAGTACTTGTGATCATAATTAGTTATTTTTTCTCTTGCAGAGTCTGTTTACCATTAGTGCAGGTTCTGTACTGAGGAACATCCACGGATGGATTTCTAACTACTGTTTTCTACCCCTACAGATTTTCACAAAGGATCTTGTTGTACTTACTGTAGAAGGCTAGCTACAACGCTGAAATCCAGTGAGTGCACAGTGGGGGAAGGGAAGGATAGCTCTAGCATTTTCTATTTTTAAAATGGAGAAAAAAATCAGCTTAGATACAGCATGAGTCTTAACTACTTACTGATGTAAGTGGAAAGAACGTAGTCTTTTTTATTGTTATTAGACCAGGGAAGTAGCTGATTATTAAAACATAACACCGTTCATTCTTTAAATGAAGTTTGCATACTAAACAGCTAAAAATAGAAAAAAATATGAGTGTGTTAATAAAAGAATTATGATTCTGATAGATGACAGCCTTAAACGGTGAACCCCCCCACCCTCAGTAATAAATACTGTCTCATGACCAGCTTCAATTACTATAAATCTACAGTTGATAAAGAATTTGCATAGGACTTGAGAATTATTCAACAATGCAACACTAATTGTGTATGTAGAGCACAATATTGGATAGAAATAAACTAGAAAAATCTTCCTGAATAAGCAAATGCTTTCATATGGCAGCAGAAATGGTGTAATTGGTAACTTTGCAGGTGGTGTCCAGATATGATAGTAAGATTGTAATCATCTGAAGGAGTCCCAAGTCACTAGTTTTTGATAACAGGGTAAATAGTAACAAGGACAACAAACTAAGAACAAGGCTCCTGGCTTGTAATGCTGGAAACAAATCTGCATGGACAGGCAAAAAGCACAACTAATCCCTGATAAAATGACAGCATGGATTAACTAGAGCAGTGATCTTATTACTGTAGTAATATGTTGACATGCTGTTTAAAAACACTTTTCTCACAGTCTTGTTTTATTAATGTGCAAGCTAACCTGTTCATCAACACTTTTAAAATTACACTATTACTTTGCATTAATATTAATATTAATCAGTTAACCCTCAAAATACCCATTTTACACATACATTCACATAAATAAAAATAATCAAACAAGTTAGCATCTCACAATTCTATACCAAATATAGAAACATAAGATCATTAAAGTAGATGACACTGTCCCACCAATCAGTGAGATATTTTTATCTGTCTTGAAATTAAATTGAGCTTAGAAATATCAAATTGCATTTTTGCCTCTTTTTTCCCTTTATTTCTCTCAAACAGAACTTTAAAAAATGGATAGACTAAAAGTAGCAGGCACAAGAGAGTAAGGGGAGGACATGGCAGAGGGCACAATGAATAGATCCACAAAGGGGATGGAGAAGTGGGTCACTCTGGGCCCTGTGTGAAGTTCTGGACCCTATACCTGTCCTGGATGGCATGCCCTCGCTGATGGGGACATGGGCTGGGGGCTGCACCTGGTCACCCAATACCCTGCCCAGGCTTAAATCTGTGCTGTTGGCCATATAACATTGCCTGCTATGGGAGGACTAAGGCAAATTTGGAGATGGGTCCCACAAGCCCCCCACCCCACCCCGTGCCACCCTTAGCTGTCCCAGACATCCAATAAGAAATAGGATTGTCGATCTTCTAGGATTGTCCTTGAGTTTCCCAGAATTAAAGATTAACCTTTAATTAAAGAAGTATGTTATGTGATGAAGTATGTCCAATCAAAATTGGCAACTCTATGCAAAGGAGGGGGAAAAGCCAAAGTGTTACCCTTCCCCTCCCCCCCCCCCCCCCCCCAAAAAAGGAGCTAGGCACCCACTAGAGGTACCTTCCTCTGTTCGAGGTTCACAACTGTGAACCTTATTCTGGGCTAAGGTGCTTAAGCCAGATCAACTTTTTTCACAAGCCCAGAGGTTACAGCCGTGACCTAGGATATGAGAGCTATGGGTGCAAATCTTTCTTTTTCCTGGTGTAGAGCAGAGATTTGAACCCATATCTCGCTCCTGGTCTACACTAGGGGATAAATTCTAATTAAGATATACAACATTAGCTATGTCAATTGCGTAGCTGAAGTTGAAGTATCTTAACTTGAATTTTAGCGCCATCCACACTACGAAAAGTCAAAGGGAGCACACTCTCCCTTCAACTCCGCCCCCCAACTTACTCCTCATATAAGCAGGATGACCAGCATTGATGGGAGTGCCCTCTCAGTTCAAATTAGCATGTCTTCACTAGACCCACTAATTCAAACCCTGGAAGATCAACTGCGGCTGCTTCAATCTTATCTGTAGCATAGACAGGGCCTCACTTCCTAGGAGAATGCCCTAAACTATAGAATTCTGGGGTAGGGCTCTCTCTTTCAAATATTTAAATAGCTATTGAGCCAGAGAGATTGTGAATGAGAATGACTCTAGCCTAGTGGTTCGGGCACTCCCCAAGGAAGGGAGAGACCTAGGTTTAAGACCCTGCTCATCAACAAGCAGAGGTGAGATTTGAGTGCATATTTACTACATTGCCATGGGTGACTACTCTAACCACTGGACTATCAGGTAAAGGGGCAGCACACTCAGTATTTTGTGAGGTTCAATCAATAGGTGGCCTCTGAGCACACCTACCACACGAAGAAGATGCAGGGGGAATGCTGAGTTTGTGACTCCAACCTCATGATTTAGAGGCCAGGCATCAGGACTCAGGCATATTCGTGTGTGTCCATGGGTAGAAATTTAGGCATCTGATGGATTTTACTGACATAAACAGAGGCACCAGCCAAGCAGAGATTTTGAGGATCTACATTAATCAATTAGGTTCCCTGAAGTGACAGTTAAGTGGCTAAATCCCTTTGTGGAGCTAGTCAAGGGGTCTTGCACATTTGAACTAAATGTATATGCAGTCATGGGGCCTCGCAGTCTTAGTACATAAAGAGCCCAAAGGAATTAGAAGTGAGAAGTACATCTCATACCATCCTGGCCAGCAGAGCAAAGCTAATGTAGAGGAGAGTACATGCTTCATTCTCTCAAAGATCTTGCAGCTCCTATACATGTATTTTCCTCTGAAGGATTCTCATTGAGTGAGCCAGAATACCTTCAATGTTCCCTCAAATTTTTTATGTATTATTTATACCAATATGGAAATGATGTGCAACACATCACCTCCATATTGGTGCAAATAACAAAACTCTTTATGCATATGGACAATCTGTGGCAGGGCTGAAGCTGAAGGCTTCAGAGTGTGAGAGGAGGCTCAGGGTTAGGGGAGATGAGGACTCTGACTGGGGGTGCAGGCTCTGGGTGGGGCTGGAGAAGAGAGATATGGAAAGGATCTCAGGGGTGGAGCAGAAGGGTTGGAGTGCAGAGGTGAAGGCTGTGGCTAGGGGTGAAGGATCTGGGATGGAGGTGGGGGTGAGGCATTTTGGGTACAGGCTCCCTCTGGAGAAAGGGCTCCCACCAGGACTCTCTCAGGGTACGTCTACACTACAACGTTAATTCGAACTAACTTAGTTCAAATTAGTTAATTCAAACTAAGCTAATTCGAACTAATGCATCTAGAACTAAAAACTAGTTCGAATTAGCGTTTTGCTAATTCGAACTAGCGCGTCCACATTAAGTGGACCCTGAACCAGGCTTAAGGATGGCCGGAAGCAGTGCCGGCAGGGCATCAGAGGAGGACTTAGAGCGTGGAGATGCTGTCTCAGGCTAGCCGAGGGCTGTCCTTAAAGGGTCCCGACCCCCACCCCGGACAGACAGTTCTCAGGGTTCCCCGCTTGAAAAGCAGTCCTGGCTTGGAGTGCCCTGAGTGCCCACACTGGGCACATCACAGCACTCGGCCATCAGCCCGGCTGCACTTGCCGCAGGCTGCCATCTGGGGAGAGGGGGCAATTGGGGGGCTGCAGGAGAGCTTCCACCCCCAGAAGCCCGCAGAACCAGCCCAGTCCTCCCCATCGGGGGCTCGTGCCCCATTCCTCCCTCACCTCCTTCCATTTACCCTTCCCTAGCCCCACAGTAACATGGAATCTCTCTTTATTGAACAAAACTGGGGGAGACTGGGAAAAGGAGGTGGGAGAGGGGAAGAGAGAGGCTGGGAGAGGGGAGGGCAACTAAAATGATCAGGGGTTGGGAACAGGTCCCATATGAAGAGAGGCTAAAGAGACTGGGACTTTTCAGCTTAGAAAAGAGGAGACTGAAGGGGGATATGATAGAGGTCTATAAAAGCATGAGTGGTGTGGAGAGGGTGCATAAAGAAAAGTTCTTTATTAGTTCCCATAATACACAGTTCCATGTGTGACAGCCCTAACACCCTGTGTGGGGGTTATTAAGCAGTTGTGCCACCACATGTCACATCGCTTAGAAGCAGGGGACTCAAACTCATTTTACCTTAAGGCCAGTGCCAATCCTCAAATCCTGTGGCTCTGGGGAGGGAGAAGGAAGGGTTCTGTGCCTGCCCCCCTGCATGTCTCCTAGTCTCACCTGCTGTTGCATGCATTCCCCTCCTCATGCATCCCTCAGCCTCACCTGCTCCCCCTGGGCAAATAAAATGCCCTGGGGCCCCCTGCTGCCACTACCAGCAGCACAGTAGGGCTAGACTGGCTTCTGGATGCTAGCTGCTGGCCCGGGGAAGTTGTGTGTAGAGCTGTCTCTTCTGTAGACCATTGTGGTGAAGCACAGTAACTTGGCTGGCCTGGGTGGTGGCAGAGTGGTACAAGCTGCTGTGTCACTCTGCTTCTTTGTGGCTCCCATTGCCATGGTGAGTCCGGGGGCGGGCATCCCTGCTGCTATCCCATATCAGGCCCCTCCAGTAATGCCTGAGGCCACGTCCCGCAGAGAAGAGAGTTTGAGCAAAAGGGTTCAATGCAGGGAAGAGGAAGGACCTGGGATGGGAGGATGTGGGGCAGAGGGTGGAGCAGGGGTTGGATTTTGGGGAAGGATTTGGAACATCCCCCCACCCATGGGCCACAAGGACTCACATTCTGGCAATGGGCTGGATTGTGGAACTTCTTGGGCCATAGATGGCCCACCGGCCATGAGTTTGAGATCACTGGCTTAGAGGAAACTTAGTTAGGGACCACATCAAAAGGAGGACATATCTCCACAGACAAGGGCTTGACTATAAAAGCCAGAACAAAACCCTACACTTGATGGAGGGTAGGTGCATTATAAATTTAATTATAATATGAATAAAGTTCCTTGTTAAATTGTCAATATTCTTCAACAACTAACTGAATTATACATGAGTGAGTGTCAATAATTTCCCCATCTTTCATGACTTTGGCATTCTTCTAGCTTTCACAAACCCTTTTGACTGTGTTTCCATTTGAAGGGGAATAGAGATGCTTTTGAGAGGAAAAGCAAAGCTACAGATGAATTTGTGATCTAGGATAGGATGCTATTGTTGAAGAAGGGCTGTTGGTTAGGAAGGAAGTCCAGTCTTACATACTTTTAGGGGAGCAATGAGTGCATTTGTCAGCTGAAAATGAGGTTGGCTAGCTTCTCAGGGCAGTTAAGCAAACAGATTTATCAATTTGGAAGGAATTCAGGTCAGTGTGTTTTCTAAACCTCTGCTATGTTGTCTATGTAATCGTCAGCAAAGGGTGTGGCTAGCAGGAGCAGTAGCAATGAAGTTAGCAGGCACCGTTTGCAGCTAGAACACGGCTGGCAACTGCTGCTGCTTCAGAGGAGTTGAATTGGGATGCCAGAGAAGCATTTTCTCCCTCTTCCCCAAAGAATTTGGCAATGGAGCAGGAGGAAAATATGTGAGAAGAGAGTTGGGATGGCTCAAAAAGCTGGCGTCCTGAAAGCAGGGATGCTGAGAGGTATAGCTCCTTTCCCATAGATAATCAATTAGATAATGAATATGACTGTCCTTATTTTCTACCAACTTCATCAACATATTTTAGATACTTTGGAGGATGTGAGAATATAACACACAAAGAGGTGTGAACATTCTCCTAACTATTTTAAAGGATACAGAATTTATCCTATAGAGCATCCTTGAAATTTACACCTTCTCTGAATGTGTTAGTGCACAACTGTTTTGCTTATGGGCAAGAGTCATACTGAAGCTGTGAAATGGCTCTTTCAAGACTGACAGCAAACTCTTCTCAAAAATAAAATTTTTAAAAGGAAATGATTAGTGGCCTAAAGTTTTCAGTTGGAAACATAAAAGAAAAACACACAGGTGCCAAATGTATGCAAAGGAAAGATGGATTTGTGGTTCACCACTGGGTCACAGGACACCTGAGTTCCATTCCCAACTCTGCTATGCTCTTCGGCTACGTCTACACTGGCCCCTCTTCCGGAAGGGGCATGTAAATTTCAGCAGTTGTCGTAGGGAAATCCGCGGGGGATTTAAATATCCCCCGCGGCATTTAAATAAAAATGCCCGCCGCTTTTTTCCGGCTTTTAAAAAAGCCGGAAAAGAGCGTCTAGACTGGCCCCGATCCTCCGGAAAAAGTGCCCTTTTCCGGAGGCTCTTATTCCTACTTTGAAGTAAGAATAAAAACAGACCCAACTCCCTCAGCCTCTCCTCATAGGTCATATGGAGCCTCCGGAAAAGGGCGCTTTTTCCGGAGGATCGGGGCCAGTCTAGACGCTCTTTTCCGGCTTTTTTAAAAGCCGGAAAAAAGCGGCGGACATTTTTATTTAAATGCCGCGGGGGATATTTAAATCCCCCGCGGATTTCCCTACGACGACTGCTGAAATTTACATGCCCCTTCCGGAAGAGGGGCCAGTGTAGACGTAGCCTTCATGTATTATTTTGCACAAATCACTACTCAGTTTTGCTATTTTTAAAACAGGAATAATATTTCACTTTCTCTTTGGGCAGTTGTGAAGATCAAGCCATTAATATTTTTGAGGTGCTCAGATACTACTGTGAAATGTACCAGATAAAAGACATTTAAACACCTTCAAAATCCTTTAATAAAAACATTTGATTAAACATCCATTTATAAGTACTATATGTTCAGCTGTTGTGATGGACAAGCAATTAATTAATTATTTTTATGTCAGTGTTATCTATGACTGTGATGCTGTGACCATCAGAGCAAAATAATCTAGGGGAAGGGGCACAGTCTGAAACATGTGAGTATGGAAACTAACTAAAGGATGTTATTCATAGGTATGGAATGTTGACACTCTTGATTTTCCTAATCTAACTGGTAAACATGATATAATTCCCTGGCTCATATTCCAGTGTTCCTGTCAACATCTGTGAAATTTAAAAAAATATTTCCCATCCATTTCAGCAGAAAAGCATTTTATTTTGAAAGAAGTTGCGACAAGGGGTCGCCTACCTCCGCTTGGTGGGACACGCCCCCCTGCACTCGGGGTTCGGGACGGGGAATACATTTGCCCGATGGCCTCAGGCCACTGAGGGCTTGCTGCGTATGCGCGCTAGTGACCTCACAAGAGGGAGCTTTAGGATCCTGGGGAGGGTTGTGCTGCGGCGGGAGGCATCCGGCCGCACAAGAGAGTGGACCGGGGCACTTTTGAGGAGACACAAGAAGGGAGGCGGGGGGAGGCTGTTGCATGAGTGATGTCATCCTCAGAGGCCAGGCAAAAGACTGGTGGTGGGGGATTTAAAAGAGGGCCGACTCCCAAAGAGAGGAGAGGGGACCCCAGCTGGGGTAGCTGGTTGTACTTTCCCTCCTCTCTCCCCCTCCCGGAAGGTGCCGTGGCTATGAGGAGAGAACCAAGGAGCGCCAGGAAGCCAGCGGGCCAGTGTAGCAGCCTCAGGTAGTGGCGAATGGCAGTTCTCGAGTGAGGATCATGGGACTGAATTTGAACTTTGAATGACCAGGAAGACTTGAGTATCACAGAGGGTAAAGTATCAGAGGGATAGCTGTGCTAGTCTGAATCTGCAAAAGCGGCGCGGAGGATATTAGGAATGGCAACATACAAAAACCCGTAGAGGTACACTTCTATCTTCCTGGACACACAATTGCAGATCTAAAAGTAGCCATCCTGCAGCAAAAAAACTTCAGGACCAGACTTCAAAGAGAAACTGCTGAGCTACAGTTCATCTTCAAGTTTGACACAATCAACTCTGGATTAAACAAAGACTGTGAATGGCTTGCTAACTACAAAAGCAGCTTCTGCTCTCTTGGAATTCACACCTTCAGATCAGCTATTAGAAGTGGGTCTCATCCTCCTTGATTGGATCCACCTCGTCATCTCCAGCCTGATTCTGGCCTGCATATTTATACCTGCCTCTGGAAATTTCCACTACATGCATCTGACGAAGTGGGTCTTTGCCCACGAAAACTTATGCTCCTACACTTCAGTTAATCTATACGGTGCCACAGGACTCTTCGCCGCTTTTACAGAGGGTAAAGAAAGACTAAAAGGCAGCACAGGGCCTGTTCAGAACCAGACTGGGGGTCTCGGTAGGACCTGCCCTGTCACAGAAGTATTTAAGACAAGTTTCAAAGTGTATTTAACAATAGAAATTTTGTTTTGATATAATTTATAGGAAAATGGTCTCTGCTATTATTTTAATTAAAATAAGGATTATTTTTGTAAAGTTTTGTGCCTTAATATTAGTACATTAATTGCTACCTTATTCTAACTCCAGATGAATAAATAACATTGAATAAAGTGAGCTTTTTAAATAGAATTCTTTAAATGAGCTATTAAGATCAATGAAAAAAGTGAAAGCTCTTTTATCTGGCATGCATGAGGAATAGGAGTTGCTGATTAATTGAATGTGCGAGATAATAAATCTTATTGCTCTGCTCAGCACATCTGGCTTCCACAGCTCAAGGAAGACTGAAGGGAAAGAAGGCGGCTACTGATGACATCAGCTGGCAGTGCCAGCTGGCAGAAATCCTATAATGGCAGGCTTGACAGGCACAAGTCAGACATATGTGCCTGTAGACATGGTGGTATTGTGGCTAGAGACAAGGCCAGTTAAAGTTTTCTGGTTAACAGTAGGAATATCAAGTCCCAGTTGATCAGTTAACTGGTTAAATGTTACACAAGTCATAAGCTTCTGGAAAATCACTGACACAAAATAGTATTGTGATTATGAATAGTATTGAGGTCAGTAATTTTAGTAATTTTGCACAAAAGATTAGATATTTATACAGATAATATCCTCAATTACATGAAACGGAGCTGAAATATATAATTACTCATGTTTCAGAATTTAAGACCTAGTGTTTAACTGGTTAACCAATTAAATGGGATCCAGGCGGAGGACCACTCCAGGCCAGCTGAAGCAGTCCCCATCCTGTGGGGCTCCCACTCGCAGCCCTGTGCTGGGGCTGGTTGCCCGCATGGGTGCCAGGGCTGCTGCTGGCTCTACCAGCTTGCAGCTCCAAAACAGGGCCTGGGACTGCCACCAGCTCACAGTTCCCAGACCTCACTGGAGCAGCCCTTGTCTGCATTTCACATCGCTAGTTAACAGAGTGCCAGAGACACTTTTACTGTGATTAAAATTACTTTGAACTTGTATGGTACATTACTTGAAAAAATCTGAGTTCTTTATAGATATTCAAGAATTATGCCTCATAACATCCATAGATAATAACTCAGTTTTATAGGTTGCAAAACTGAGGCAAGGAGAAATTGAGTCATGCCTGTGGTCTCACAGATAATTTGAGAAAAGTTGGGAATAGAACATAAGTTTCTCAACTCCCAAAAGATTATTCTTTCTCCTTAATAACAATGACACATTGAATATACATAATCCCAACATGGTGCTTTGCCAAGGAGTGAGAGTCCCTGATGATGCGGTCATTGGGCACTGGCCTACACTCTAGTACATGACAGCCTTCAGGAAACGCTCCACCCCCCGAGATTTCGGAGCTTTTGGGGATCTATTGGACATCAGGTGCCCTGGCCATGCCTTCTTTTCCCAAACTTATTTATCTAGGCATTTATATGGCCTCCATGACCTGTGTCTGAGGGTATGTCTGTGCTGCCCATGCTACAGTGCAGCCATGTCACTACAGTGCTCAGGGGCGGCCCATGACTATAGGCCGACTTGGCTGTCGCCTAGGGCGCCGCCTTCAACAGGGCAACCCGGGGTGCCCGATGATGACATCACTCCATTGACGGCCAAGCAGGTGGGGGGCACTGATCGTACATTCCATCTGGGGCGCCATCTGCCACAGCCCACCTCGGGCCACTCCTGACAGCACTGTAATATGGGAGGTATAGCCAAAGTTTCATAGATCATTGATCACAGAATCATAGAATATTAGAACTGGAAGGGACCTCAGGAGATCATCAAGTCCAGTCCCCTGCCCTCACCAAGCACCGTCTAGACTATCCCTGATAGATGTGTATCTAACCTGCTCTTAAATATCTCCAGTGATGGAGATTCCACAACCTCCCTAGGCAATTTATTCCAGTATTTAACCACCCTGACAGAAAATGTTTCGTAATGTACAACTTAACCCGCCCCAACTACAATTTAAGCCCATTGCTTCTTGTCCTATCAACAGAGGCCAAGGAGAACAAATTTTCTTCCTCCTACTTGTGACACCCTTTTAAATATTTGAAAACCACTGTCATGTCCCCTCTCGGTTTTCTCTTTTCTAAATTAAACAATCCCAGTTCTTTTAGTCTTCCCTTATAATTCATGTTTTCTAGCTCTTTTATAATTTTTGTTGCTCTTCTCTGGACCTTCTCCAATTTCTCCACATCTTTCTTGAAATTTGGTGCCCAGAACTGGACACAATATTCCAATGAGTCTTAATCAGTACAGAGTAGAGTGGAAGAATGACGTCTCAAGTCTTGCTCACAACACTCCTGCTAATGCACCTCAGAATCATGTTTGCTTTTTTTGCAACAGTATCATACTGTTGACTCGTATTTATCTTGTGGTCCAATCTGACCTCTACATCTCTTTCTGCAGGACTCCTTTCTAGACAGTTGCTTCCCATTCTGTATGTGTGAAACAGTTTGTTCCTTCCTAAGTGGAATACTTTGCATTTGTCCTTATTAAACTTCATTCTATTTACCTCAGATCATTTCTTCAGGTTGTCCAGATCATTTTTAAATTATGACCCTATCTTCCAAAGCAGTTACAACTCTTCCCAACTTGGTATCATCTGCAAACTTAATAAGCATACTCTCTATGCCATCACCTAAATCGTTGAGAAAGATATTGAACAGAACTGGTCCCAAAACAGACCCCTGCAGAACCCCATGACAGTGAACTGTTAATAACTACTCTCTGAGAACAGTTATGCAGCCACCTATGTACCCACCTTATAGTAGGCCCATCTAAGTTGTATTTGCCTAGTTTATTGATAAGAAGGTCATGCGAGACTGTATCAAATGCCTTGCTAAAGTCTAGTACACCATGTACACCACTTCTCCCTTACCCACAAGACTTGTTATCCTATCAAAGAAAGCTATCAGATTGGTTTGACATGATTTGTTCTTTACCTGTCATTTTATTATCTTCCAGATGTTTGTAGATGAATTTTTTAATTACTTGCTCCATTATCTTTCTTGGCACAGAAGTTAAACTGACTGGTCTGTAGTTTCCTGGTTTGTTCTTATTTTCCTTTTTTAGACCTGGGCACTATATTTGCCCATTGCCAGTCTTCTAGAATCTCTCCTGACCTCCATGATTTTTCAAAGATGATAGCTAAAGGTTCAGATACCTCCTCTATCTACTCCTTAAATACTCTAGGAAGCATTTCATCTGGTCCTGGTGCCTTATAGACATCTAACTTTTCTAAGTATTTTTTAACGTGTTCTTTTTTATTATTTTATCTTTTGGAACTACCCCATTTCCACTAGCATTCATTATGTTAGGCATTCCTTTATCATCAGACTTCTTGGTGAAGACTGAAGCAAATACGTCATTAAGCACCTCTGCCATTTCCATGTTTCCTGTTATTGTTTGTTTCTCCCTCTTCACTGAGCAATGCGCCTACCCTGTCCTTGGTCTTCCTCCTCCTTCTAATATATTTATAGAATGTCTTCTTGTTACTCTTTACGTCTCTAGATAGATTGAGTTTGTTTTGTGCCTTTACCTTTCTAATCTTGCCCCTGCATACCTGTGTTTTTGCTTATATTCATCCCTTGTAATTTGACCTAGTTTCCACTTTTTATATGACTCCTTTTTGATTTTTGGTTC